TATGCTTAAAGTTTTATATATTTCATTTTTCTTGCATTAATAATCATATCTAGAAGATACAAAATAGAATAAATCTGAACTAACAGGAAAGGGGTAAAATGCCAAGCAATGATGTCAACTGAAAGCCATTTCTTTTCTTTTAATTATGCACTATGCTTTTTTGTTATTTTAAGATAACTGCCTACTAAAGTGGAAATGTGGCTTTAAAAATACAAAATATATTAATATTATATGTTCATTTTTCAGTTGTGCTTCCTAGTTTAAGTTCACTCTCAATCATTTTGATTAAATCACCTTTCATTTTCAACTGACCAGGATAAAAAAGAAAAAGGCTAAGGATCCATTCTAGACATAATATAACACCTATGTCCTTTAAAAGAAATGCATTATAGTCACTTAAAAATATCAAAGAATATTCTTGACCTTAGCAAGTTTTTTCATCTATTCCATGTGCAATTTCAAATCAATGACTCCTGGCTGATTCTTAAATTTCTTTAACTATGAAAACAAAATATGCTTGTCATAATGTCATTTATAGAATAAAATAAAACTGTCAGGGCAGAGTGGAAGAGGGGAGAAAAAGTGTATTTTCAGACAACTTTTTCTTCTCAACTGCCTGATTATTTCAGAATTAAATAGAGGATAGCACAAATTATTAGTCAAATAGGTAACATAATTTCATAGCTGACTGAAATTTTAGAAATAGTATAGTCTAATTTCCTCACATTTTCCAATGAAATTATTAACTAGAAGCTTTTTATATGACTCAAGGTTATAAAGCTAGTTAGTGCCGGAATTTTTACTATAGTCCAAGCTTTCTGAGATCCAGTTTAGCTTTCTTTATTTCCAGAGTTCATAGTATGTCAATACATGAGTATATATGAGTGAAGCTGGCTTTAAAAATGTGAAAAAGTTTATCTTAAAGGTAAATTCAGTCATTCTACCTCCATGACTTAACATTAGCAGAAATATGTGTAATATATGAGAATCTATTAGCATTCAGCAAACATTCCTGTGTTAGTATTAGCTCGATGCAGTGGTTGAAAGATCAATTTGTTATTACTTTGTTAGGCTGCTTGTTTATTTTTTGTGTGTTTAAAACAATTAACGTGAATGTTCTGGGATTTCTTCTCTCCTGATAATTAAATCACCACAAAAAGATATAGAGAGGTAATATTTGAAGCTGAAGTTTGTAGAGAAGCAAGATGAGATTCACGTAAGAATCATAAGACCAACATGTAAACAATTGTATTAATATAATAATAGTCATGCTCAAGAAAAGTCGAGAAGAAATCAAAGTGGAGAAATTCTTGTATCTATAAACCACAAGCTTCCTACCAGCTCAGAGTAATTTTTCCTTCATTACATCACAATCACAATCACAATTCTCATTCTTTAGAACAAACCCAAGTAAATGAAGAAAGAGTAGCTTCCATTTAGAAATCCATTTAGATTCTGTTTGACTACAACGTGATGCAGACAAACATATTTGTTAGACAAGGCGGAGAATGAAAAGCCTTTTCTGGAAAGGAGGACGTCAGCTTTTCCACTAAAGTATCAAACATCAAAGGACAATCACTCGCTCTTCTTCTTCCTAAATCCCCACCATGAAAATATGAGTAAAATACTTATCATAACCTATTTCACAAGATTCCTGTAAGAATCAAATGAGATAATAGATGGGAAATTTCTTGGCAAAGTTTAAGGACTGAATTGATTTGAATTATCATCATTTCCTTTTAGATAGAATTTTTATTAAAAGCTTTAAGAAAGTGTGGTCACAACATTTGTCTGTAAGATTATGAATGTGTCAGAGAATTTCAACAGACCATATGAAATAGTCGAATTCGTGTGAGGTTTAAGAAACTTCTAAATAAAGCTCGAACAAACTAGAAATGAATTTTTCAGCTCCGTAGTTCTTTTGAGCTTTGCTATTACTATACTTCTCTTCGAGAAGTGAGATATCAGAAATCATTTTAACTTTGGCCTAATTCAGTTTTGGTAAATGACTTTGAGATAGCCATATACTAGAGTAGGGTCACTTTCCTGTTTAAAAAAAAAATGATAATTTCTATTTTTGAAAAATAGAGGAAATGAATTGCCAAAGAGAGAAAAATCTTTTTAAACTGACCCATTTGTGCTAATGAAATGATATCATTTGGAAGTTCTGTATTGAATTTATTTTTTAGGCTAAAGTTTATTTTTGTTGAATTTCATTTTCTGCTAAAACAATAGATAACAATGGTGGCCAAACTGTTATTATATAATATTTTATCAGTCACAGAACGCAATTTTAAGGATGCAAAAATGTATTTTGCAAGTCATTAAAACAAGATAATTTTCCTAATTCTGTTGGAAGAAGGTATTTTTGTTGATTTTAACATTCCAGAATTTCTAAGCATCTATTAAGATTTTACAGGTGAAGTGACCTGAATTTTAATTCTGGGATTCCTCTGTACTGTCTGTGTGGCATTGGTAAATTTACTTAACTTCTCAGAGCCTTATCTTAATTAATAAAAATTTTTAAAAGATAATAATGCTTGTTTAATAGGATTATTATAAGCATTTCATGGACAATAGATACAGCTGAAGCACAAACAAAGCATCTGGCACATAGCAAGCATTTAATATATGGTACCCGTAATTATCACTACTGTATCCTCTCTATACTCCTACACAAAATAGTATTGATTTGTTACTCATGCATATACTTCCACATAAAATCAATTATTCATCCAATATAGGTTAAAAAAATAATGAAAATTCGCTCATACTTTCTGTAAAACATGTTTGTAGTAAGAGACCCTTGGATTCTCTGAGGAAAAAAAAGACTAGGAATTTGCAAGTATCATCAATGCACACTTATGCAGTCATGGCTTTCCAGGCAGAAAGTACCTACTGTGGCAGCAAGTTAGCTTAGTGTGCACTTATTTTAGTTGGTGATGATATCTGCTGTCAGAAGAGGTTCAGGAAAATAAAGACTGTCTTAAGGTTTTAAAAAGTTTTAGAAAGAGGTCACTATTTAAGTTAAAAATCCTAAGAATGAGGCTTAGACCAAATACAAGAACAGAGAGCTTTTAACTGCATGACCAACCAAACATCAAACATGGAATCCACAAGATTTTCATTTACAAATGCTCTCTTAACAACTAGTCAGGATCTTCGCAGAAGATATTAGCAGTTATATTTCCTGTTTACTATTTACTTATAATTTATCTATGTGCCTCAGTTTTTATTTAAACAGTGTCTTTTCTACTAGAACACTCTAATGCCAGTCTATGATTTCATAACGGGTTCCCTCTTAGCAGCAGAAATTATTCTCCCTCTCCTGAAATATATCTACTGGCTTTCTTCATCTTCAGCTCTTACCCTCTACCAGATGAGGGAGCAAGAGACCTCCTCTGCATGGAATGCAGGCTCAGCCCTCCTCCTGAGGCTTCTCATGGGCGCATCTCCCTTTTAAGTTCAAGTGTCTGCCCTATTATAGCAACTTAGTTACACTGAAGTTCTATTTCGTCCAAGAAGTTTCGTCAAAGAGTTTTATTTTAGTGAGACACTTTTTTGAAATTTACTTGGAATATATACGGCAAACAAATTCTCTATTATGTATGTTTTGGGCATCCCTTTACTGAAACTTGGAGTTTTTCTAAGAAATATGTAAATATTACAATGCAAAATAGCCTCTCACTCTCTCTTCCTCTCTCTTTCTCTCTCTCTCTCTCACTCACACACACACATCAAGAGAATGCCACATGTCTCGAGTGAGACCTAATTGGAAAAAGAGAAATGCTGAACATTTCACACAGTATCATTGTGAGAGGACATTTGTCAGTTTCTCCCTGGCAATGAGATTTTTCTCGCCCTCAAGACATGCAAATGACTTTTTTCCTCTGTTCTTTTTATGTTATTTGAATAATTTTCTCCTATAGAAGTGAGAGCTGTCAAAAATTAACCATTTGGGACTACTGCATTTAGTTACGTGAATTTTTGCAGAGAACTAGATCTATTTTGGGCAGTGGTGACTTTTGATGTCAAAGATGTTGAGCAGCTTCTCGAGTGGTCCATGGATGGATGTCAGCAGGTTGTTAATGGCATGTGACTACATTTAAAATGTTTGACATTTGGGATCCTCTCAGCCTTGCTTGTTTTTGTTTTAGAAAATCAGTATTTCAACATATAAGAGAAGAAATGATTCAGTTAGGTGTAAATGTTATACTCTTCTATGTTATTCAGGTTAATAGTATAATGCAAACATTTCTCTAAGTGTGATGCTAACTTAAAATGCTGTTTGAAAAACCACACAAGCCAGTCTCTGTTCTCTATGCCTTGATTTGAGTGCTTGTGTCTGTAGGAAACTGCCAAATACGCTTATTTAGTATGAATACTTCCTTTTTATGAATCAGAGAGTTGCCCTCTGGAGGACTGTGACAAACCTTTAAATTCATTTCACTTAGACAAAGGTGGAAGTGTGTACCAGGCTTGGGGCAAAGACAAGCGCAGCTCTCTCTCTTATCACTTTGCTTTAAACATTTTTCAGCTTTCGGCTTGTCTTACAAATCTGCTCTCTCAGTCTATTAATTGCTTCACTGTACCTGATATCTAACACGAATGCACCTTGCAAAACAGCAGGAGAACGCACATTTGTTTAAGTCCTTCCTGACTTAACACTGTGGGTAATCTCCTTGCAAATTACAGTCGTAGTTGTAGTACATCCATAAGGTTGAAAAAGACAAGATTCCCAAGTGGCCCTGGTGCCTTTCCAATTCCCAGGAGACCCACCAACCCTCCGCGCGTGTTGCCTGCGCACAGGGAGTGTTCCCTGCTAATCAGGTCAATGATTATCGCCCAGCTCCAGGGACCTGACAGGAGCCTATCACAGCAGTTAGGGAGCCACCAAACGCAGCACGCTCACGGAGGATCTCCCGTTAAGAAACATCGCTTAGTCCTCATTTACTCACTGGAACCTCTGAGGATTTCAGCTTATCTTTTTGTCCTCTTAGACAGTGAGGGGATCACCATAAACAGGAAAAAGAAACACAGCATGCAGCTACTTGGAGGGTGTTGATTGAAAACTTCGATCTCCCCACCCCATTCACGGTTGATTTGACTGATTTCTCACCTCGTTCACAGAGAATATTTCAATTAAGGTAAGTGCTGCTCTCGATCTGCGTGACTGCATGGCACTGAATTTCTGCATTGAAAGTTCTAACTGACTAAACTGACATTCTGCACTGCAGCAAGTGACTGTTTATGTCAGGAAAAGGCTTAGTTTATAAGCAAGTGTCCTAGAATGAAAACCGGCGTTTGGGGATAATGATATTTCAGGGCAATTTCTTTTGATATATGTCTTCTGTCTTGCATCAAGAGAAAATAAAAAGAAATATGAAGAGAGAGCTAATGCCTCTTTTTACCTTTTTAATAATCTAGAGAACTGTGTAATGCTAAGGTTACTTGATTTTGATTGAAGTGTTTTGTTGATGTCATATTGTAAAGTCTCTGAGGCTAAAAGCTTCAAAGTTAAATTAGATGGAAAGAAAATTTGCAAATGAGAGTTGAGATTTTGTGCAGCTTTCTACTTTAGCAACATTCCCGAGCTCCCTCTGGGTTTAAGGATTTAAGACTAAATCCCTGAATATTTCAATAGTGTCCATTTAGGAATTAAAATTTAAATGATAAAGTTTCTGATGTAGCTGCTAAGAAAAATGAACTGAAAAGAACTGATATACCATTGATATGATTTATAGTTCTTATACAAGAGAGATGGATTTCTTTCATGAGATAGATTAATAAAGCAAAAGTAGAGAAAAATTAACTTCTTTCTAAATGCTTATTTTTGAAAGGAGAATTCTTCAATAAGAGATTATGTTTTTATTGAAATCTTGGCTTTTATTTTTGAGGTTGCTCTTTGTTATCAAACTAGAGTGAATTGAGGTTAAGCTTGAATTATACATAGTTTAGGGCAATTATCTAAGTAATTCAAATAAACTAGTCCACATAATTTCTTCTAAATCCATTTTCCTCCTGAGTTTGTTAAAAATATTTAAAGAGAATGGAAGCAACTTTTTTCGGAACTTAGATTTAATTATCTGAACTTTTGCTTTTCTACTTTACTTTGCACATATAAATAGAGTCTGATGGTTTCATTCCAAATTATAATAAATTTCTATGTAATCAAGAACAATAAAATAATTCTATCACTATAATTATATATGACCAATTGATTGATTATGTATGTGAGTGAATAATAGTGAATGATAGCAACCACTTATCTTGTTATAATGTGGTACATATGCTTCAAAATGACTTCCAAATATTGAAAGAAATACTATTTAAAATATAAATATTTTATGGCATTATAGGATTATATATATATATATATATCTTAAAGGATGTTACACAAATCAAATTTCAATAACTAATCTATGTTAAAGCACCATGTAAAAATCCAGCTGCTTTTGTGTAAACATTTATAGTAGTATGTTAAGTGTACTTTTTAAAATGAGCACTCATATTTCACGAAATGTTGGTTCTACCTCCCTCCTATGGGTATCCTGAGATGGGAAATTTTATGAAGATGTCAGAACACTGTTTATATTAATTGGCCATCCTTCTGAAATCCCCTGGAGAGCTTTTCAGGAGGATGTTGATGTTACTGCTTTTCCTGCAGGAATAAAAATTTTTAGGATACTCGAAGGCACTGACATGTACTTGCTGATTGTCTGGATGTTTTCCGCCAAAGCCTGAAGATATTTCCCTACCTCTGTTGCACTGAGACGTCTATTTCTTTTCTTCAGGGTGGTTCCTCAACTGATTCAAAGAAATGTGAGAGAAGAGTGTGTTGACTGTAGTTACTATCACTGGGTCTTTGGTGTTTTTTTTCAAACAACCTTTAATAACAAGCAGAGGTAACACTAAACAAAGAGGGCCATATTTGCTGGTAACAAAGGATGTATATGACCACTGAAGGATGTGTTTAGTATATACTGAAATGTTTACAAATGACAGCAATTGTAGTTCTTATTCAAAAATATATACCTAAAGTTTTTAAAGGGCTTTTGTCATTGTAATTTGCATTATATCCGCTGAAAGGGAATGGAGAAAATCTTGGGTACAATTGAGAATTAGGAGATGTTTATTTTAGGTAGCACCTGCCCCCTCGATCAGACTTCCTTTTTTATTGTTATTATATTATCCCCAGATGCCAATTTACCTCTAGATTTTATATTGAATCCATTTTTCACTCATTTGATGGTAATTTATTCAGAAAACATCTTATAGGATAACCTCACTTAGAATAGACAGTTTCAAAATCTAAACCACAAAGTCTGGTAAAACTTTAGTAAACTTGTTTTAAGATTTATAACCTTCTCCTTGGTATGTGATATTTTCAATAAAAGACAATGGGGAGAGGCAGTGTCTAATATGCCTCTTAAATGCCAGACAGTTGGAGTATAAACTGTGTATGTATGATTATATAAGTATCAAATCAAAATGATAATATGGAGGTTATTTACCCCAACTTTCTGGATGAGTAGATGTTGTGAGATGACACGTAACTGGGGCAGGTGGACCATAGTTAGTGGACCTATGGGTCAAACTCAGTCAGACTGTATTTAAAGCTCATAATCTTTGCACTATACTTCTTTATCACCTTATATGTGGTGACCTTTTCCAATATTTTACGTGATACTCATGAATATTTTAAGATGGTTTTTAAGATAGAGCAGCTTAATTATATTACCCTCAGAATAGTTTAACTCTAGGCTCATTCAAAATAAATGATTGTGTAAACTCCATAGCCTACAGTGTTTGAAACAAGCATATACTTTGTTCTTTTAGGTTCTGAAAGAGGTTAATGCTCAAGTCTGTGCACCAAGCTGATTCTGATTACTACTGACAGAAAAAGCACTCTACTATACGGATAATCAGTACTGAAATTCAGTATCTGTAATATGTGTATCTTCCCAAGAGAGGTGGACATACTTTTCAGGATAAAATCAAATAAAAAGTAGCAATACAAATTCAATGCCATTTATATTGCAATGAGATTAAAAAGAAGTTAAGGAGAATTCATGTTCTTGGCAAAAGAGATCCACAATGTTAGAAAAAAACATAGAAATTAACAGCTGGAATTGAATGTTGGAAAATGGGCTGAAAAAAACCCAGATTTAAATGTATAGGAGTCCATTTGCTTTATTGACTTCATATAAACCTTCTTATATGCATACAGAGATTTGCTATAGCTAAATTATGCTGATATTGTGACAATAATGTCCAAAACAAACTTTGGTCCAATCCATGACAAAAAGGGGAAGATGTTATAAAATTAAGGTCGAGCTGGAAAATTGAATATGATTAGCTGTCATATCCAAGGATGTGCTGAGATGGTGACTGGAGGTTAGGTTGCATAGTTATAAAATATGATCATTTATTGTGCTCCAACATGTTCTCAAACATTTAAAAAGATAATATTGTATCAGACACTGCAAATAATGAATTCAATAATCATTAAAAGCATAATCAAGAGATATATATGTATATTCTCTAACCACCAGGCAGATTAATTTTCCATTCTCTAGGTTTTATGGTAAGTTATCCTAGTTGTGTACAAGAATAACATAAAAACAAAGTGTATATAGACAATTTCCTTTATTACTGCTCCAAAAGAATGAACAGAATCTGTAAAAAGCAGTATTGCCGAGGAGCTTCTTAGGCTGAGTGTCCACAATGTATATGTCTCTCTGCCCAGAAACGATGACCGTGTGTCTAGACTCCACCGGCAACAGTAGATTTGACCAGAGATGAATGGACTTAGATTTAAGATAGCCATCTCTATAGTAGCCAGTGACCACTGTGTGGCCTTACAAAAGAAGCATGCCAATAATGGATGCTCTGTGTTGTTAAATAGCAAATACTGAACTTGGTGACTTGAAATATAAAATAAATACAGATAACCTGCAGTTGGTGAGCAGAAGCCGAGGTTGAGAAACATAGAAATGGTAGTCTGCAGAAATCATGAATAAGCGAAAGTTATGAGATTGGTAAGAAGGAAAGAAAAGAGGTATATTCCCTTAGGTCAATTAGAAGAGACACATTTTTTGACTCATCATCATGGCTAAGCCAAAGAAGAGAGTGCTTCCTTGTAGAGGGACAATGAGGTTGGTTATCCTGGGTGATATTCCAAAAACAACTTACAGCAATGAGACTTTTTCCTCTTTTCCACATTTATCTCTGTGGTTTCAATCCCATTAACCAATTCAAGCTGAGCACATCTGTGTTCCTTACAAACCAGAAGATTATAATTGGCCCAACATCATACATATTCATACTCTTGGTAGACAATGGATAAGGTAGAGATGTGTAGTGGCTATAAGTACAGGATCTGGGTTCATATCCCACTGAGGGTACTTGCTAGCTCTGTGACCATGGGCAAGTCAGTCAAGGTGTCCAGACTTTGTTTTTGTGATCTTTAAAATGGATCCAATGATAGTACCAATCCCACAGCAGTGTTGTGAGAAATAAAGGAGACAACTGATATAATATACTTACATTTACTCAGGTGCTCAGGAAGTGATACTCGTTATTATACACAAGAAACCTTGTTATTAGTCCCTCATCTTATCTGTCAAGTAGAGAAAATCAGGACCATTCTCTCTCCTTAGCAACAATGCACGCTTGGACCTTACCAGAAGCTCGTGGACCCACTTCATGACACTGTGTTTATATAAGTGAATGTTTCTTGAAAAACAGTAACTCAGTAGACAGTTTATAGAAAACTTCCTATTTTTGTCAATGACTGTTTGCATGCTGTAAAACCAGATTTGAATAGTTGAACACAAAGAGATTAGAGAGGCTGCAAAGCTGAAAATATTTGCTGTTTTGTGTTTTGCAGAAAATGTTTGCTGGCTTCTTATTTAGAAGAGAAACTAACTCATGTTGCATGATATTTTTATTACAAGCATAATAAATATTTGGTGGAACATTTTTAAAATATCTTGAAGATAACTATCTAAATGTCTATTTCCAGACAGATTCAAGCTTATCATTTCCTCTTTTCTACTAATTCATCCATATTTTACTATAGGACTTAAATCCTCTAATTATAAATGTTGAAAAGTTATCAATTCCCAGATATATGTATAGATATAGATATATGCACAAGTATTCCAAATTTTGTATATTGATTCAAGTAATAAGCATAATGAAAATGTATTTTCTGCAATAGCGTTCATTATTTTCCATCCTCCCAGCCACACATTCTTATATTTTGGTATATATACAAGAATCAACAGCTATGTGTCTTAAAGCAGCCAATCCCTGGGTCTCATACCTGGAGTACTGATTTAGTAGGGCTAGGAAAGTTACCCAGGAGCCAATTTTGAGATATATGCAGGTTATTCTGATAAAATCAGAATGCATAAGAAGGTGGCTTAATTGGGATTTAAACAATTTCCCAGGTAATTCTAAGAGGCAGTCAATGCTGAGGACTGCTGCTGTAAACCGAGGACTCCCAAGCTCAAATGCACATGCGAATTATCTGGGGATCTTTTTCAGTGTTTCTGGAGTGGAGCCTGAGATTCTGCATTTCTAACAAGCTCCCAGGGGTGCCGGTGCTGCTGGTCAATGAGAAATGCTCCTCTCCTTATGGCCCCACTCAGCCCTATGGTTGCCACAGGCGGGTAAATGTTCAAGGACCTACCACAGGACGTGACTTACAGCCCAGCTCACTTGGGTCAACAGTTGATAAAACTTTTCAAGAAAGTCTTTCCATCACAGAAGAGTGATGGGAAGTTCTGAGCCAGGTCAAAACCAAGAAACATTTTTTTAAAAATCTATTGTTGATTTCCGCTTACCCCCTCTGAAAATAGAATAATTGGATGTTTTAGAAAGCAGCATAATTACGTAAGTATTGCTAACACAGATAAGAACCTTGTTTTGTTCACTGCTGAAGCCTTAGCACCTAGATCAGTGTCTATTGTATAGCTAGTGCCTATTTGTTAAAGGAAGGAAAAAAGGAAGGAAAGAATGGAGGAAGGGAGAGAGGGAGAGATCAATGCAGCTTTTAATCTCACCCCTCCAAACTTTTTCTACCTATTTCTATCTTTTCTTCACTATCTCGGTAGCTGACACTATAACCTACTCAATGGGTCAAGTTAGAAACCCAGCTGTCATCTTTGCTTTACCACTTCTCATTCTCTACACATCCAATCAAATCTGGTCCTTTCAATTTTGCCTTCTA